AAACAATCTTAACTTGGAGAGGAAGCATGAGGGTGATGTTAACAATCTTAAGAAAGTATTTCAATCCCATAAGCTTCTTAACCTTCACACAAATGAAACAGCTCTCTTTTCTATCAAGAGGCTAACTTGACGGCAACTGATGTGCCAGATAATTCACATTGCAGTCCTAAGCACCTCTTTAGCTGCCACACAACACTAGCTTGATCCCTTTCTTTAATGGAAAATGTCTCTTTTGTCAATGAAAAGCCTCCTTCCATTGAGGAAGAGTCCTCTTGTGTCTTAAGAACAGACCGTTTGGATCCAACCCATGATTCATCGTCGTTTAGTCGTGTCCGACTCTTCGTGACCCCATGGACCAGAGCACACCAGGCCCTCCTATCTTCCACTGCCTCCCAGAGTTGTGTCAAATTCATGTTCATGATTACTAACCCTAATATCCATTTCATATGACTATGACCAGTGAAATGGTGTACAACATGAATCTAACCCCCCCAAGCCCTAATTTAAATTATTTGTGTATCAGTTTACTCTATACTGATAATCTCTGTTTGCTAGAGTAAATTTTAGGAAAACTGCTGGCTGGATAGCTCATGGAGCTGAAATACGTGGCTGCAGAGCAAGAGGTTGGGAGTTTGATTTCTCACCGTGCCTTTTGGGAGAAAAGCCAGCCTTGGGCAAGCTATACTACAGTCTCAGAGCTTTCCCCAGAAGAAGGGAATGTTAAAACCACTTTTGAAAATTTATGCTGGGGAAACCCTGGGAAAGCTTGCCATAAATTGTAATTGACTCGACAGCACCATTATTATTATTATTATCATTGGAAAACAAAGTTTGGAATATATATATATGTGTCACATGTTTGTATTCCTCATTGACATCTAGTTTTATCTGAGGCTTTATACTTGCATGATTTGTCCACTTCATAGCCAACTCATTGAACAACAAAGCACTGAGATATTTAATTGTGGATTCACAACTGCCCCCCTTCTCTGCAAGGGAAATCACTGGTTAAAATAAAAGACTTGAGATTAGTAATACCTGTGAATGCTATTGTAAATTGATTCGGCTCCTGGTATGGATAAAGCACTTCAATAGATTTCCAAACGCAATGCAAAACAAATGTAATTCACGATAGGCATTTCCCATGTCTCATAGATTTATGCCATACGGTTTCCCACAAAGAATGAGCAATTGCCACACATCAGGTGAATGACCATAAGTGATGGAGGACTTCAATTGTACCAGCCTTTATGCAAGCATGACCACATCAACATGTTGTGTCTTTCATCTCAACATATGTGTGCCAAACTTTGTTGTAGCATCAAGAATACTTACCAACTTGAAAGAAACATACAAATGCAATAGACAGGTTGAGAAAACAATGATTATTGTTAGAGCGCCTTCTGGCTTTTATAATAAAGAATTATTGGCATACGCATTAATAATTTTAGAACTGAAAAGCTGGAAGGGACCCTATGGATCATCAAGTCCAGCCCTGGTCATACTGGGGAATCGAACTCCTAACCTCTGTGTGCCTAAACCACTGAGCTAATTATCATTCTCCTGTGCCATGAGATTATCCTTCTTGATCATCCTTGTCCTCTGTGGGTTTAGTTTGCTCTAGTGTAATGTGAAGGCACTTTCTTTGTCTGTCCTTGGTCAGGCGGCAAAATTCTACTAGTATCTTTCATTGCTTGTTCCCCCTTCCCTGTTTTTGTTAAACGGCACTTTGTGCATCATAAATCTTCAGGTATATTTTAATGCATTTCCCTCCTTCCTTCCTCGGTAGCTATTATTCTCTGTGATTGTTTTGTACTCCCCTGGGGCTGCATGCTGCAGATTCTATACCCAACATGAATCTAGAGATGTGGAGATGTTTAGTTTGGACAAACAAACTCTTGCCTCTAGCCTACCATTTGCTTTTTTTAAAAAGGAGAACTGTACTTAGAAAAATCTCATGACAGTTAGTCACACAGCCAAGAGAAGGGGAAATGGAGGTCAAGGATTTTAAGGCAGACACAGTAGGCCTTTTCACTGAAGCCTCAACTGCTGCTGTTTATGCCTTCCTGAGTTATATTTACTGATGGGGTTTGTTGAAAGCACCACTAAGGGAGCACATATTTCTCTCCTGCCTATTCTGAAATATGGGTCAGATGTGAGTAATTTGTACTTGTAGCATATCACATGAGAGCGCAGGATGCCACTAATTAATGACGTTAAGTGCCTGTTCAGTTATTTCCTGATGTGTGAAACCTAGTTGTTTTTTATTTCATGCCCAGAGGGGGGGGTAACACAGCTGTAAAAAGCCCCACTAAGGAAAGAAATATATCGGGCATTGAGACAATAATGACAATTAGAGTCATTAATTTTAATTTAAAATAAGCAGGATAGTGGTTACGAACCAAAGTTATGAGACACCATGCCCTCTCCCTTCCCTTCCCAACGCTCCTGTTTTTCCAAGAGGATCTCTTGGGAAGGCTAAGTAAGTATTAAGGATGTGTGGATACCATCTGCTTTGATTCCGTCCAAAGTATTAATCTTACAAATAGCAACCCATCTTTTTCAATTTGATTTTAAATATTTGAGTATTTGTATGGGTCTGAGTAGTGAAAAATAAGGAAAATAAAAGGCTCTGACCTGGGATGGGGGCGAGAAACTCAGTGGCATTAATTACTGCCTGCCTGCCTTTTTCCCCACTGAATGGTGCTGAGAACCATGCAATTTACTCAAATTTGCTCATCAAAACCATTTGTTGAAGGGAGAACAAATGTCACAGCGGCTTTGCTGACTCTTTGGGTAGAGTGTTTTAATTTCCGTCTTGTGTGTCACGTTGGCCACCCAACCCATTCGGAACACAGGCACACACAGTGAAAAAGAAAAGAGCTGCAAAACTCAAAGCTAACAGTAGAAGTAAAGTACAAAATCAGGTCAGAGTGATAGAATTCCTAATGCTAATCTGACCTATCAAATTGCATGCAAGAGACTCAAGACATATGTGGCACATTCACATAATTAAACACTCAACACGTTGGATGCTAAAGTGTAATGTGAAATGAGAGCTACAGCTGCCTGAAAGAAAAGAGGAAAAGATTATTTAAAGAACATCTATTCTACTGAAAATGAAAGCAATACAAATAGCAATCTTTGGCACATTGAGACTCATCCCTTGCTCTGCCAAGACACAAAATGGACAGTGATTATAGCACAAGGAAATTTTTGGTGTTAATCTAAGCCCTCCCAGGGGTTCAGTGAGTTTCCAGGAAAGCTTGGGCTTTTCATTGGTGAGTGAGCTGTCAATATCCATTTGCTTATGGCTTCCTAGTTCTTTCAAAGTGTTATTTTCATTTTGTGAACAAAATTCACCAAAATCGAGTGTTTCCCTTTGATTTTTCCGCTCTGTGAAATGAGATGCCAAAGGAATATTCAGCACTCTGGAGAGTCCTGATTCAATTTGAGTGACACTTCAGGTTTCTTCACATTGTTTTGGATTGGTTCTGAAATGGACAAATATCACTCCTTCATTCTGGATTCCAAATAATTTCCAAATCTGAAGGACATCTCTAGTGAATACTACCTTGGTTTCTTCCATGCCTGACTCTCAAAAACTTTTTTTTTGGAAAAAAATATTCATTCATTCATTCATTCATGCATTCATTCATTCATTCATTTGACTTTTATACCACCCATATGGATGCCAGGCTAATCTGGATGGTGTACAAACAAATGACAACAACGTAACAGTAAATGTACAATAACAACCATAACATTAAGATAAAATAAAATAGTTTAAAAAGTGGAAAACAGCTACAAAAACTACAAAAGAAGACATATTAAAATAGAGAAAAATAAAATAGAAACATGGCAGTGGGTTGGAGTTAATTGTTCAGGCACTATTGTATCATAATGTATGTGATAGAATAAAAATAAATAGTGATAAATAGTGATGTATGGCCACGAGGGTCACTGATCTCTCCTCCAAAGTGGCTTTCCATTTTCTGTTTTGAAGTGGTGAGAATCATCTTTTCTTCGATATGTCCAAACCCTGTTACTTTTCCTTAATTGAGCGGAATCAGCCAATATTAGTATGACAATATTAGTATGTCTTCCTTTCTTGGGTGTCAATTGCTGAAAGTCTTCCAAGCAAAAGTGATCAAAGCCTATTCTGATAAAAGGCACTGTATTAAGCAAGCGTACTGTCTTCCTTTCTTGGGTGTCAATCGCTGAAAGTCCTCCAAGCAAAGGTGACCAAAGCCTATTCTGATAAAAGGCACTGTATCTGCAGAAAAGGGTCATCACACGGATTGGCACCATCACTTTGTCATTCTATGCCTGCCACATTTTCTAGGACACATGTGTCAAGCTCAAGGCCCGCCAGCCAAATCTGGCTCGCTGGGCCGTTTCATGTAGCCCTCGCAATGTTGCCTGCTACTGTGTGGTATACAATACGCAGGAGCAAGGATGCTGGGAATCCACCCAGTGGGACTTCTAATCCCAGCATTCCAAGCAGCGAAGAGTCAGAAAGTGATAATTGAATGAGGAGGATTGTATTTAATATGATAAGGAGTAGATACATTTATATCATCTTACAGATACAACCGGCTTTTGAGGGCAACCATAACGCCGATATGGCCAAAGAAGTTTTACGCCTCTGTTCTAGGACAACAACTACCAAAATCTTTCAACAACACCATACACCCATGCAAGTCAGATCCTACTCCCTTTTTCTTCCAATAATAAGAAATCAGGCAATGAGCAAAACAAGGAATGTTGTTGCTGTGATACTACAACAACATGGGCCTCCTAACAGCAAAGGAAACAAATAAAAGAAACATTTTCTGGTAAAAACCCAATACACCTCTCCATTGGAGACCTTTGCCATACCTTGCTCGCAGTAGATGCCATTGTGATACTACAACAACATGGGCTTCCTAACAGCAAAGGAAACAAATAAAAGGAACATTCTCTGGTAAAAACCTAATACACCTCTCCATTTGCCATACCTTGCTCGCAGTAGATGCCAGTGGTTCCCAGCGGACAAAGGCAGGTGTATCCATCAGGCAGTGGGACACATGGGGAACCTTGCTTACACTTGGGTGGAGGGTCATGCTCGGGATCACACACAGAAATGGTCTCTGTGCAGAATGCTCCTTTCCAGCCAGTGGGGCATTTACAGCTAGCAGGTACACAAAAGAAAGAAGATGATATAAATAAGAAAAGGCCTATCTGTATATTACATGTTTAGGAATTCATGGCAAGCAACCAGATGTTCTTGCGAAACCTTCATCATTGACTATGTTATCTGATTCAGAGTTGTGGTCCTACAATATCTGGAGGATCCGAGTTGTGTTACTATATAACATCAACTCTATTACAGTGTAAAGCATAGAAAACATTTAAATGAGCTTAAGCTGTTGGCGCTCTGTTTACTATCTCGCATGCTGCCTGTAGTTTATGTGACTGACTGGGAGGGATTTTTCTGGGCTGGGGTGATTATCTATTTATCCAGCACTAGCCAATCATTCCTTCCAGCCTTTGAATTAAAAGAGAGCTCCGCCTCTCTGCTGAGTGCTCGTTCCCTCTCTTTCCTGGGTTGATGGCAGTTGTTTTTGATCTGTTCAGTTGGTTGCTAAGTATATATGCGATAAAGCAAAAAGTGTGTTCCTAAGTAGCACTTTAGAAGCAGCACACTTTGCAATAAAGAAAACAGTATGGCCAAATCTGTAATTTCAAGCAAATGTAAGTTGAGAAGTGCCTTTATTCTTACTCTTACAAATTTTAAATTTTAAGAAAGGGGTGGATTCTGGGGAACTTATCGCTGTTCTCCTCTGTGGATCTCCATACTTCTACTGCATAGCAAAATGGACTTTTACCAGAAATGCAACACTCTGCAACATCAGCATGCTGACAGATCAGTTAACATTAACAGGCGACACTAATATCAACATTATTATGCAATTCACTGAACCATTCATGTTAAGAAATCTAACAAGATACTTGCCCAAAATAAACTGCACAGCAAAATAAGGGATCAAAAAATGAACTAGTTGCACAGTATTTCTGATAATCTACCCCATGTATCAAAAGGAGGCCCTCCTGTCATCAAGCTCCCACATTCCGAAGGATGAAAGGGCACTTTCTTATCCTCATGGTGATTCCCCATTTTGCTGTAAAGCACTATAATGAGAGGCAAGTTGGGAAAAACCTCTATTTGAGCAGATGTCCACATTGAGAAGTATAAGAGGGATGGCTTGTAGACAAAGGGCCTTCTCGGCAGCTGCCCCCAGACTATGGAACGCCCACCCACGTGAAATTCGCCTGGCACCAACACTGATGATATTTGGGCGCCAGGTCAAAACCTTCCTGTTCATATATTTCAAAAGTACAAGCAGGTCTTTATGAAGACTCTCATGTCTGGGACAAATTAAGTAGACATAAGTATGCTCAGATGGCAATCACACAGTGGACAGATTCCTGCTCATGATTTATGCCAGCATAAGAGTAATTGCATATATTGTATTATGGTGGCAATTTGCAACTGATTAATAAGTTCCTACTCACATTCCTGGTCACATATAAAGTTGCATGACTAACATATGGCTGGGAATGTGAGCAGCAAATCCTCAGTGGCAATTCATTGCCATAATTTACAAAAGTATACCAATGCTAAGATTCTGGTTAATGGTTCTCCCCTCCCCTTTCTTTTGTCAGTAGCTCCTGCATGAGGGCCCTTGTGAAGTGGGGAAGTGAGAGTGAGGCATAGCAAAATGAGGCTGCAAATGTTGGCAAACACACATGATCTTTCTCACCTTGCCATTCCTTCTGTCAGCAGGTCTAGGGACATGTGAAGGATCTACTCTGTGTGCCTGTGTATGCTTCAGCTGTACTGCAATTTTTGGAATGTCTGTGGGCAGTCTCTGGCAAATGATGTGTGCCTGTGTATGCTTCAACTATACTGCAATTTTTGGAATGTCTGTGGGCAGGACACAGTCTGCATACTGATGGACAGGTTTGTTCTTTTTTAATGAGCACATTTGAAAAGCTCACAAACAAAAGGATGCCCATTTCAAATACATGCAAACAATAATTTAATATTCTGTATTCATTGGGCGGAATGTGTTTCAGTAATGCATACAATTTCAAATCTGCACAAAGGAAGGAAGGAAGGAAGGAGTTATGTATTTTTCAGTAATGCATACCATTTAAAATCTGCACGAAGGAAGGAAGGAAGGAGTTATATATTGGACAGAGATGGAAAAGGAGGAAATCTGTGGGTGAAGATTTTATAGATGCATTCATCCCTAAACTGTATTATTAATTATTTTCTCTTTTTACAAAAACTTGAAAATTATAATTCAGAGTGAGGGTGGCAGCCGGGGATCTCAAGAAGACCTTGCACTCTCATTGAACTAGGTTCTTTGAGAAAAGCCATGACAGTTATTCAGTCTTCACTGTTCTAAAGTATACTTATAGGGTAGATACAGTACTCAGGAAGACTGAATAACTGAAAGGAGAATGTGATTCAGATATAAAGAGCCATGAGAACAATTGGGCAGTGTGTGTGTGTGTGTGTGTGGCAATTGGGCGGTGTGTGTGTGCCCACACAGCACTTTGCTTGCACCCTGTCACAATTGTCACATAATATAAAACAAACGCATGTCACAGGAATAATCAAATGTCGGGCAAAACTTTCTGAAGGACAACATGGACCACAGAAAAAGGCTGCCTAATTTGTATGAGGGGCACTGTGACTGTGCCCTTGAAGTCCAAAGCCCATGGCTAGATTTAAGTTCCCCCTTTGCTTTCCTGGGGTAGTTTATCATCTACAGAGGGTGTCTTGTGCCTACTGGTGGCCCATGCAACAGCAGAGTCATAACTAGCCTGTGTAGCAGGAATGGATTTGTACAGCTCAATCTGGAATTCTCTTTTGACTTTGTCGTTTTGTTTTGCTCTCACTTCAGATATGCCGAAGTTATCCGGATATCCAAAGTGAGGAATCTGGCCTCAGAGCAGTGCCCTAATTTCTCAACAATTCAAAGAAATAGCCAGACATCGGATTAATGTTCAAGCCTCACCATGTGTGCTAAATACCAAAGCTGTTATTGCACAGGGGAAACCTCCTTCTAATCCTTTTGACAGGAAGGGTGATTGGTTCTGGATACAAGTGACTGCGAGGACTGAACGTCCATTTGAAGTACCCTATTTCTTCCTACATGGGAAACAGAGGTTTACTCAATGGATAAGCAAAATGCGGCATTTACTTAAAAAACAAAAACCTTCTGCAAGAATGATGTGTGATGATGCACCTACTTAAATCAGCAGGATCATCCCCATAGCAACAGGCTCTCCCATTTAAATGCACTGCGCATAACATCAGAAAGGTGGCTGTCTCACCATAAAGTAATCTCTCCAAAAGTGAAAAATCTCTAGGAGACAATTATTTCTAGGGACCCCAAGTGACGTCTGAAAACAAACCTCACAGGAGCAAATTTGGGGAAGAGGAATGGATGTTTTATTCCCAGGGGGCAGTAAAATAACACCGATGAGAAGCAATTGCTTGACATGGCAGGAAGCACAGAGAACCTGTTGTCTCATGTCTTTGAAAAGCTTCCTTGGCTGAGTTTTCAGGAGGGCTTAGGAAGCTGTGCAACATCTGTTTTCCTTTGTAAAAGTAAGCTGTCACTCAGGATACGGACCACTAAAGAAATGTTTCTAAATTTCAAATTATAATTGTGAAAAGTCGTCTAAGCAAAGTTTAAAAGCAGACGGTAGGCCTCAGTTTGCGATCTTCTATATAAAAGGTTATGGCAGAACAGGCATTGGGAACCTCTGGCCAGAAGCAGCCAAAAGGAACTCCCACCATCTCCCTTCCTAGGTCCTGACCATTCCTCCAACCCACGGATGAGGGAAGGCAGTCCTTCTCTCTGATCTGCTGCTGGCCGGAGACGAGAACCTAGTCCCGGCTCACCACTGAAGTTCTCACCACTGCCTAGGAAACAACCCCCACGGCCCAGCCAGTCTGTACAGCAGAATCTGGAAGATATAGGTAGATTTGTATGCACATATGTGTACATATGTGCTACACAAAGGCAACTTGGAGGATTATGCTAATTCATTAGGACCAGTGGCAAGAAGAGAACACAAGAGGGACTGGATCTGTGACTTAATGTGAACCAAGATTATTGGGTGTTTACACAGATAGATCTAAGCATGGTCTGGATTGAAAACAGCCATATCAATCATATGAATTGCTTTTATAGTAAGAACAGCCATACAGTATCAATCATATGAATTGCTTTTATAGTAAAACCGATTATTGACCCATCTAGCGTGGAAGGATCTATTCTATTCTTGCTGGCAAGGACTTTTCAAGGCACTATGATATACTATACACCAAACAACAGTCTCCATCACTCTTCACCATTAGCCGCCTTGGACTGATGGGAGTTGGTGCTGAGCAACGACTAGAGGGTGACAGGCTTCTCATCTCCATTGAAGGTATCAGACAGAAATCTCTCATAATGTTGCTGCATACAAAAACCAGTTTTGTGTTCTGGATTTCTATACACAAAATGAATATTGGTTGTGCTACTTAGCAAGATGACTGTTGTGTGACTGGGCATGCAATTAGTTGCATAATCGGTTATGCAACCTGCCATGCAACAGACACCTTGCCGAAAAGTGCAACTCCTTGCACAACTTCAGCTGTATGCATAGAAATTCCCCATAGGCCAGTGGCCACTCAAGCCCAAGCGAACACAAGGCAAGGAAGGAAGATGTTGTGATAGGGAATGGAGGTGCTGGAGATGGGTGGAAGCTGTGGGATAAAGGGGATAATACGTGGGTAGAGGATCTGGAGAGGTATCTAGGTTTTTATTTACTTGCAAATAAATATATACAAGGACTTTTGTATAAGACAGGAAGAAAATAGTGCAATTTATATAATTGGGTGCACATGTACAGTATGATTTGGGCATGTGGGGTGAAATATTGGAGAAAGGGTCTTATACTAGCAAAACTCCTGTTTATATTGGTCCTGCACATTGTTGCTGTGCAGTCCCTGATGTCCTGACCTGAGTCCAAAATGGTGCCTCAGAGCACATCTACACTGGCCCTTTAGATGCAACTGATGTGGTCTAAAGAAGGTCACTTGAGGTTGGAGGGAGGAGCGGTATGCCATGTGGTGTGATCCTTGTGTCCAAATGGTATATCTACCTCAAGTGACCCTCTAGCGCTGTCTGTATCAATAGAACATTTTCTCTGCTTCTCTGCGGATGGGCAAGGGAAGTGAAATTAATATTCTTGTCTGTGTGAGCTCATCACTGATGCACTGAATCATTTAGGTTAATTTTAAAAAAATTATCTTCCTTGTGTGTAGCACTGATTGAGAAATTGCCTGCAGCTGCAGTTTTGATTGGCACTACACACAAGGGAAAAATAATCTAAGGGATTCAGTGCATCAGCAATGGTCTAGCACACACACAAAACATAATAATTTCACTTCTCCTTCCCTCCACAGATTAAGCCACTTCATGGTACCAGAAATTCAAACCAGAAGGAGCCTTGTCAGCTTTGATAGGTGCAAGGCCCAATTTTAGTATGTTCCTAGTGATCCCAGTGAGTGTACTAACCCACACCACAAAAGCAGAAGCTCCTGACAGGGTCTCAAAAAGTCATAGGGTGTCTTGGGGGCAAATTGGTCCACTCTGGTTGCTGAAAAAAAAAAGGAAACCAACCCACCTCTGTCATTGAGTGGTTGCTGAAAAAAAAAAAGGAAACCAACCCACCTCTGTAATGTACCAAATAGCAGGACAAATGCCCTTTTGAAACTAGTGCTCACTTTCACAGTGGGAAATCCTGCATATTGCTTGGTGCAATGTCATGCAGAAGAGTTGACCAAAATCTTTTAACACTTACTAAAGAGTAGAGCCACTTTCCACGCATGTCCCTCCATTTCTGCATTTTATCAACTGGCACAGAGACTTTTCACACTGCCCTATGTTGCGCCCAGCATTGGGATGGCCTTCTGGAATGCCTGGTGCTTTAAGCTTCTGGTCCCTTCCAGCGCGAACCAGAATATCAAAAATGCAACCTCAAAAGAAAGAAGAGAAAGGGATATATACATCAATGAAAGCTTTCAAGACCGACACAGTTCGGTTTCTAAAAATCTATCTTGGCTAAACAGCAGCAACAACAAGAAGAGCAAGAGCTGTGTTTTGGACCTGCTGAAGTTTCCAAGCACTTTCCATAGGCAGTCCGAGATACAGAGCATTATAGTAATCCAGCTGGCAAGTAACTAAGGCACGTGTCACCATGGCCATATCAAATCCTCTCCAGGAATGGGCTCAGATCGAGCACTGGTTTTAACGGTGCAAAGGCACTCCTGGTCACCATCAAAAACTGGACATCCAAGCTCAGAGACAAATCCAGGAGTACACCCAGGCCACACACCTGGAGTTTCAGGGTGTATGTGTGTCACATCATCCAGCACAGGCTGGCTCCCTGTTCCCTAAACTGTCTTTAGACTGACCAGGACTGTCTCTGTTTTATCTGGATTAAGTTTCAGTTTGATCCCACATCCACTTCATTACTATCACTAGACACTGATCTAGAACTGAAGCAGCTCCCTCTGATTTACATGGCACTCGAGTTTTCTGCCATCATTGCTCAAGCCTCCATCCATCCCACTCATTTCATTTTCACCAGCTCCCCGGTAAACCAGGCTTCAGAGGAAGCTCCTTTGTGGGAGGAGACATCTAGAAGCAATCCTGTCCATGTCTTTTGCCATTTCCTTTTTCTAGAGATCAACTAAGACGTCAGCAGAATCACCTGCCAAAATAACAGGAAACTCTCCAAGAGGTGTCAGGAAACCATTTGGATCCATCAGCCTTCTAGGATGGACCATCTTAATTCATCCCCCACTCCTGCAAAGGCGGTGAGTTCCCATGAGTCTACACGCCACCAGATAATGGTCTGTCCATGACAACAGAACGGCAGAGAGTTCCTCCACACCCAGGTCACCACCATCTACTCTGGGTCAGAAAACAAGGTATAAGGTGTGCCCTGCAGCATGGATGAGGGCAGATGCTATTTGGGACAGGCCCATGGTTGTATGAATGAGCTTGTGGAACTGACAGTTTTGTGAGTTATTTTCCCTGAATTCTAACTGTTGCTACACTCTGCATGCATGTCAGATGGTGTCTTTCTCTGCAAGCCTCTGTGATATCTACACACATGGCTAGGATGTGTATTTGACTTGAAGAGGATATTATATACCCCAGGTTCTTCAGACCTAACAAGTATTGTTTCATAACTTTTGCTAGTCATATCTTCTTCTGGTCTTACGTGATGATTCCATTAAAATCTGATATCTAATAAAAGGGTATTCTGTTTCTGAATTAACACTTAATTGCACGGTGGAAAGGACTTGAGAATATACGAGAACACCCAAAGTAGAGTATGGCACATTCCAAACTACAATAAGGTCATCATGGAAAGAAAGGTGATACTGGAGCTGACATTTGGGGTGAAGGCACATCGTACAAATACAGAAACAATGTACTGAACAAACGAACAAAATGGTTAGTCATGTATTTTAAAGAACAGTCAAGGTCATTTCTCTGTTTAGCAAAATACTTTGAGCACATTTCTTCTTGCCTTTAATAATTGTCAGTTATCACATCAAGAGTTATGGTGGCCCTTTTCGGGGTTTTCTAAGTAGAAAGTGCTCAGAAGTGGTTAAGGATTCCCTCCTTCTGGGGGCCTCCTGGGACTGTGCAGCTTGCCCAAGGCCACACAGGCTGGCTCTTTTCCCGAGAGGCCCAACAGGGAATCAAACTGGCAACTTCTGGCTCCACAGCCAAATCTGGGGTGCACACTGAGGAACTGAACTCCCAACTTCTGGCTCCATAACCAAAAACGAAACACACAGAGCTCCTTGTCAATGGCAATTTGCCTTTAATTGGCAGTGATTTCCTGCTGGTGATAGCATCATCATCATTCTGCATGTGGAACTGCACAACATGATTTCAGCCGATATTTATTGGAGAGGGCATTGAAACCCTCTGAGCCAGTGTGTGGAGATTTATGTTCCTCAGCAGGCCCCAAACATTTTGCATTTATGAATGCTTCTGTTCTACTGCTGTTTAACTCGTTTATATGCTTCACAGTATTCTTTTTCTATTTGACTGAAAGCCACCCCGAGTTGCTCTGGCATGAGGTTGTGGTGTATAATATTTTAATAAAAACAGTTGAAAGTAAATACAGCCCTGCGAGAATAGCTGTTGAACAGCTTCTAATAGTTGATATAAAACTGACAGCTTTCCTCAGAGGCCTGCTTTGAAAACACGCTTTTCCTATAAAGAGAAACCATGTTGAATATCAACACGACGGCACTGTAGGCAAAGTCATGCACTGCAAATCTGGTTACTTACCTTGAAAACCATTCTTAAAATGAGATCCATAGGGTAACAGTTCTGGAATGTACTCTATGTAGCCTCCGACATAAAACTGGCTGAAGACGTTGAGCCCAACCAACTTCCCTGGAGACCTAATGGTTTTGTTTTCATGATCATCCACCTTTGGAGCAAGCAAGTAAACAAAAAAATTTCCAGTTACTCGGACAGCCATGTGTCTTATCACCGTGTCCCTAGATGCTTCCCAACAGAAACCAACAAGGAAATATTTACACATGGGACTGCTAACTTGGAGCTGCCTTTCTGAACAGAAAACGAAGGCAGAGCTAAGCCATGACGCTTTCCCAGCTAGGCCTTTTCTTCAGGTAAACCATATTTAGGTGTCTGTAGCTGTGGGTGGAACCGAAATATGAGATGTGTGGTCTAAAATAAATAAATAAATAAAAATCTGAAAGACTCATGACTAGAAGCATGAGGAGGGGGGTGCGGTGAGTGATGGCTGCTTGCAAGACACGGGGCATGCTGGAGTCTTAATTCGCTTCATTTTCAGATTCATGGACACTGATTCAAAGGGCTTCTAGGTTTGTGCAGCTACGATAAAGTATTTTGATCCCCTTTCTTTGTCTCTCTTTTAAAAAGAATTGCAGCATGTTCTCACCGCATTTGCCAAAGCTGGCTGAAGTTTCAAGATCAGTTTGAAAACAGTGTAGAATATTGAGGGGTTGCTTTTGAAAGTGAGGATCTTTTAGTAAACTTACACACAGACGTTATCGTGCAGCACTTCAGATTACTTTAGAATTGAATACATTTAGCTCTTTTGGTTTTACAGCAAAAGCTTCTGTTTATATTGCAAATTACCTTATTTTTTAATTTTGTTTTATCTATCTATCTATCTATCTATCTATCTATCTATCTATCTATCTATCTATCTATCTATCTATCTATCTATCTATCTATCTATCTATCTATCTATCTATCTATCTATCTATCTATCGTGTCTACAAACCAGTTTACAAATACAGTCAATAAAATCACAAATTGCAGCATAAAAATAAAACAGTGATCCCCAATCTTTTCCCAACTGCAGACTGGTTGGAGGTATGTGGTGCGCCTGCAGGGGGGTGGAGATCACTCATGTGCATGTGCACATCGTGCTTGTGGGGGCACTCACGCACATGCACACAGTGCGCTCGCTGGGGGTGGAATGCACTCATGTGCATGCGCACAACCACGTGCATGGGTGCTCATGCACATGTACATGGTGTACTCTCAAGGGTTAGGATGCACTTGCATGCATGTGTGCAACGGCGCTCACGGGGTGCTCATGTGGGGGTATGAGATCTGTGTGGCCCAGTCGGCCGCAGACTGCTGCCGGGTTGTGGACTGGGGGTTGGGGACCTCTGACCTAAAGGGTTTCAAAATGTTAAAATATTAAAAATGTTAAGAGCCAAGAATTATATTTAAGCAACAAAGAGCCTCTGGAACAACCTCCCTCCGGAGATTTGCGCAGCCCCCACGCTGGGTACCTTTAAAAGCCAACTAAAAACATAGATGTATATTCAGGCCTTCCCTCCTGTCAATACTTGATTTTTCTTTTATTCTTCCTTTTATTCTTTATTTATTTATTACTTACTCTATTTTTGTATTATAATTTGTTACTGGTTGTCTTATTTAATTTTTTTTTGTTATTTTATTGTATTTATGTCATACTGGAAGCTGCCTAGAGTGGTCGTATAGACCAGATGGGTGGGATACAAATCAAATCAAATCAAATCAGATCAGTCAATCAATCAATCAATCAAGGACCAAATGGTGGAAAATTTAGATGAGGAAGCCGTGTTAGTTTGTGCTAGCATATCAGGCAAAAAAAAAAAGAAAAGAAAAGAAAAAATAAAGAAGACAAAGTGTTGTGGCACTTTAAAGTAACTGCTATATTTTAATGTGCTCTTTTGCGGACAAGTCCACTTCCTCAGACCTACAGTATGTCTCTGGAAAGGAATTCTGGAAACCAGGAGGTCTTGTAGGGTGCAACTGAGAGAGCTCTTACTGTGGTAGTCACCTGTCATACCGTTGTTGTTGGCAGCACCCAGAAAAGCCCTTCAGAAAATAAGCTAGGTAATCATGCAGGAACTTGTAGCTGTTCTTCTTCATTATCTTTCACAGTTGGCTCTTCTGATGGCAATTACAAGCCAACAGCATAGACAGCCTTGAGTTCCTTGCATGCTTTGGTCCTACGCACTGCTGCGCCATGGGGCAAGTAATTTGTTGCGTGACCAATCTTGAAACTGGTCCAAGATGAGGAATGTAAATGGGAAGGCAGTTGCAGGGAGGGGAATGTTTACATGAACCTTTTTCCATGCCAGGCTCCCTCAACAGAATTCTGGTCTTTGTGTTTCTTGTTTTCCCCCATACCTCTGTCAGATCATGCCTTTGATGCTCAGAATAGTGGGTGAAGGATGGAGCTCTCAAATGATGCTGCCAGCTTCGGTGCTGCCTGGCACCCCTCACCATTCCCTTAATGCCCACAAATTAAGCACAAACTGTTCTTGCTCCTTTCCATTATATGTTCATAAGATTGTGAGACAGTGACCAATGTAGACAACTGTGGGAACTCTAATTATATTATAAAGCACAGTTGTCCATGCGGCCTTTCTGAAGTGATTATTACCTTCATCCACCCCTCTTGCAGAGATCTGCCAAGACTGACAACATGAATAGGGTGCGTCAAATCTAGGGGTTCACTAATAATAGTTGCCGTTCCTGATCCTAGGTTGTAGGTGTACACCACGCTGCCATTGCGCAGGCCTAATACTAGGAAATCATCACCATTGAGACCTAGAATAAAAAATAACGAAATAAATATCAAAAGTTTGCATTTCATACGCTGTCACTAAAGACATAATCTGACACTGCTTAAGCAGTGTGACATTTCAGTATCCCCTCCTCCAGGTTTCTCATATTATGGGGCTGTGCTAAGACCTTGAAGCACTTGACAGAACAACGTTGGTGACTATGTTGGTGGTTCCTCTCCTTCTATGAACTAGAATTAAGTGGAATGCTAGCGGAATCTTTCTTCAGCCTTGATGAGGAGGGAGTGTCTATCACATTTGAAGGAAGCAGGGCCAGCTTCAGGGATGGGGACAAGCAAGATAGGAGCACATGACCTCCCCTTTGACATCTCATTTGCCACCCGAGGTAGGTAGGGCTATTAGACAGAGAAGCAAATTAGGGCTGTACAAGATGTGAAATGTGGAGGGATGACTGTTGTGGGGAAGGGAAGATGCCCATGAACTCCTTTCCATGCCACATTCCCTCGACAGAATTCTGGTCCTTGTGTTTCATCATGATTATTTTTCACAGATCTCTCTATCAAATCATGCCTTTGGTGTGTAGAATAGTGGGTGAAGAGACCGGTGCTTTCAAATGATGCTGCATTTCCTGAACAGCAAAGGGTATCAAAGAAACAGAAAACATACCTCAACATGGAAGGGTGGGCACTGGTAGAATGAAATTGTTTCAACCGTTGCTTATTTGATTTATTCCTTTCCTTTCTCCTTTGCAGGACAAAAGGCAATTTACAGCATTTTTTTAAAAAAATCCAACTTTAAAAAAATACTGTAAATTACAGTATTGAAACAGTGTTCAATACCTTATCAGATTAAAACAAACATCGAATTTTAAATTGCAATTTAAAGCCATTAAAAACAAACAAACAGAGGAACCACCTGCTATTAGCAGGTTCTCAACAGTGGCTCAAGGTCTGTCTAAATCAGGGGTGTCCAACCTTTCACCTTCTCTGGGCCACATTAGATGATGAAAATTTGGTTTGGTCCGCACATACATTTGGTTTGGGCCGCATGGGGGGGCAGCCCTAGCCATCCTCCGCAGCCCCGCTCCAAGTGCGCTTATCAGCAGCTGCGATCTCAGACAGCAGAGGCTGCCAGCTTTGACTCCGGTGGCTTTATGGGGCCGGGAGGGGGTCCACCTATTGACGGGGACAGCGCAATGCAGTCACACACCCCCCGTATCCCCTCCTCTCCCACTCCTTCCTTCCCTCTCTCCCCCTCTACTGTTGTGACATGCCCCGGCCACATTCTGGCCACAAGTGCTGGCAGTGTAACTTGAAACTTTGGAATTTCTTTAAAAATAAAAAATTGCACTGGGCCGCATTACGAGCTGACCTGGGCCGCATGCAGCCCTCGGGCCACAGGTTGGACAAGCCTGGTCTAAATAATATATATATTATTCCCTATGAGTGGCTGGACAGCAGGGGGCAGCCTAACTTCCTTGAGAAGATTGTGCTGCAGGCTGGGAGCCAACACCGAGAGGGCCGTTTCTCATGTCTTTGTCAAACATCCCTGTGACTTTGGTGGGTCAGAGAGAAAAGCTTTTCCTGAGAGAGCACATACCACAGACCAGATTATGTCCCACGACATCTTATATAAATAGTGCTTATGGTCTTAAGTTTGTTTTGCTTTCTATTTAGAAAACGGTCCCCTTCTAACACTTAGAAGGTATGTGAGTATTTGAATACTTGCCAGGATTATCTGTTCTCCTTTCAGAAAGAGTTCCTATATTTTTACCTGGAAGGGATTTTTTAAAACATAAAAATAATATGGAAATCTTTCCTCATTGTTCATATTAAGGGATTTCTATGCGGAAATTAATGTGGAAACCTTTCCCCTCCCCCAGTTTTGTACACTGTCATAATCCTCTTTTCTTTAAAAGGCATCAGGAATTTACTTCAGTGGTTTATGAATTATTTGTTGCCACAGTGTGCAAAGAAAATGGGTAGTACTGCCAAGCTTTATTTGACTATACCTCTCAGGTGGTGTTCTGGTGCCCCCTGGTGGCCATAGACACAGATTTTTCATGTACGTGTTTTTGACATGTTTTCTTGATGCCCATTTCAACAATTCCAAATGTTATATATATTCACTTTTGCATGATGCTCTGTGTGTGTTTGGGTGTGTGCATGCGCATGTGTATGCATGTGTGTATATATACATGAGCACATGCACATGTGCTTAGGTGTCTATCTCTTTGAGATATGTATCTCTCTCTCTGTGCACACATATGATGCCTGGCTGCCTGCATGTGGTTTTCAATGGGACTCTCTCATGGGAAATTTCCCACCACCTCTACAAACCCACCACTCAATTCCCTCCCCACATACCCACTATATAGCAATTTTAATGAACAGGGACCATACTGTTGTGATAGAGTGAACAAGTTACTGTATTTGTGGAAAGTAACAAACACAGAAGGGATACAGCACAGTTTATGAAAGGAATACAGCGCATCAAAAGTGGCAATTCCAAGGTGCCTCAATCCCAGCCACAACTTTATTTTTCACGGTGCATTCTGCCTGTATCAAACACTAAAAAAGCAAAGTGTGCTGCTTATATACTGCCCCATATTGCTTAAAGCAATATCTGGGCAGTTTACAAGTTAATTATATTGGCTACCCATTCCTATTTAAAATCTTAAAAATGATGCTGTTAAGGTGCTATACTCAATATGCCAGCAAGTTTGGAAAACTCAGCAGTGGCCAGAGGACTGGAAAAGATCAGTCTACATCCCAATCCCAAAGAAAGGCAGTGCCAAAGAATGCTCCAACTACCGGACAATTTCACTCATCTCACACGCCAGCAAGGTTATGCTCAAAATCCTACAAGGCAGGCTTCAGTAGTATGTGGACCAAGAACTCCCAGAAGTACAAGCAGGATTTCAAAGGGGCAGAGGAACTAGAGATCAAATTGCAAACATGCGCTGGATTAGAGAGAAAGCCAGAGAGTTCCAGAAAAACATCTACTTCTGCTTCATTGACTATGCAAAAGCCTTTGACTGTGTGGACCACAGCAAACTATGGCAAGTCCTTAAAGAAATGGGAGTGCCTGACCACCTTATCTATCTCCTGAGAAATCTATATGTGGGACAGGAAGCAACAGTTAGAACTGGATATGGAACAACTGATTGGTTCAAAATTGGGAAAGGAGTACGACAAAGATGTATATTGTCCCCCTGCTTATTTAACTTATGTGCAGAATACATCATGGGAAAGGCTGGAAGGGAGGAATTAAGATTGCTGGAAGAAATATCAACAACTTCTGATATGCAGATGATACCATTCTGATAGCAGAAAGTGAGGAGTAATTAAAGAAACTCTTAATGAGGGTGAAAGAGGAGAGCGCAAAAAATGGTCTGAAGCTCAACATCAAAAAAACTAAGATAAGAAGGTTGACCGCCAAAGAATTGATGTCTTTAAATTGTGGTGCTGGAGGAGACTCTTGAGAGTCCCCTGGACTTCAAGGAGAACAAACCTATCCATTTTGAAGGAAATCAAACCTGAGTGCTCACTGGAAGGACAGATCCTGAATCTGAGGCTCCAATATTTTGACCATCTCTTGAGAATGGAAGACTCCCTGGAAAAGACCCTGATGTTTGGAAAATGTGAAGGCAAGAAGAGGACAACAGAGGACGAGATGGTTGGACAGTGTCACCGAAGCTACCAACATGACTTTGACCCAACTCCGGGAGGCAGTGAAAGACAGGAGGGCCTGGCATGCTCTGGTCCATGGGGGTCATGAAGAGTCAGACACGACTTAATGACTAAACAACCACAACAATCCATTCCACACATGCACACCCAGCAAGCTGGGCGCTCAGAGTAGAAACAGAGCCACACTTGATAAATCTGACTATGGCTGTCTCTATGAGAGAGTGAGAAAGACATTCCACACGTGCACACCCAGCAAGCTGGGTGCTCAGAGTAGAAACAGAGCGACACTTGATAAATCTGACCATGGCTGTCTCTATGAGAGAGTGAGAAAGAGAGAAAGAGATGTGGGGAAAATGTGCATGTGTGGGTGTGAGAAAGAATGGAGTTGGAGGATCAGGCCCACTTAATGCCACTCTTAGCCTCACCTGCTGCTGACATATGTCTCTAAATGCCCCAAATGCTTTCCCACTCCAGTCTCCACTCACTTATGGTCAGTCAGAGCAAAGTTTTGGATGCCAGATGCCCACTTTGAGAAAAAAGTCCTACTTTCCTTGAAAACGAGTGTAAAGAATAATTTGGAAGTATTTATGTTGCAAAGTAATATTGTTTGATTTCATTGGTGGTTGAAATGCTGAGGAGAATTAGGGTAGCAAGTTTGGAGCCCTGCAGACATCACTGGGTCTTTATTGCCAACCGCCCTGATGCTGTCCATGCTGACCAAGGGCTAGAAGGAACTGACACCCAACAACATCTAAAAAGCCAGAGGTTCTTCACCCCTGCCATGGGGACATGGCTTCCCATCCCCACTAAGAATATAATAAAACTAAGACAGCTGCCAAGATCCAGTTAGGTTCATTTCTGTTTGTACGGCTTGAGGTGCTCATGAACAGAAATCCATTTATTTATGTATCTCTCAGTTGCCATTAAAAAGGAAAACAAAACCTGAGCCTAGATAGCTTACCTTGACCCTTCTGACCTGTGAAAAATATCAGGTTGTCTTCTACTGATGAGTCGTGATTTGCCAGCCGAAATTTCAGATGGAATTCGTAATAGAGGCTGATATTTGGAATTGCTGAGTAGGCAAGGAATGAAGTATAGCCAAAGGCATCTGTCCCACTGTAGCTAGGGTATGTAATATTAACAACTGTTTTGAAAAGAAGAGAGAAGGAACATTATGGTTTGGGGAACAAGAAGTGGCAAACAACGGTCCGGTTTAGGTGCACACTCCCTGGCTTACCGAGCTTAAAATCATAGGATCATGGAGTTAGAAGGGCTATTGAGACCAACCCCCTGCTCAGTGCAGCAATACCAGTCAAAGGATATCTGACAGATGTTTGACTAATTTTCTCTTGACTGACTCTTCTGTATGACAATCTTTCAAGTCCATGAAGAGTGCTTTCATATGTCCCCTTAGTCTTCTTTTCTCAAGTGTAAACATGGCCAGTTCTTTCAATCTTTTCTCACAGGGTTTGGTTTCCAGTCCCCTGATCATCCTTGTTGCCTTCCTCTGAACTTATTTCAGTTTGTTGGCATCCTCTTTAAAGGATAGTGTCCAGAACTGGACACAGTACTCAAAATGAGGCCTAACTAATACCCAATAGAGGGGGGATTAATTCTTCATGGGATTTGGAGACTGCACTTCTGATAATACAGCCTAAAACGCCAATTTCCTTTTTTTGCAGCTGCATTGCATGGTTGGCTCATATTTCACCAGTGGTCCACAATAATTCAAAGATCCTTCTTGCATGCAGTAGCTGCATGGGTATGCCATATTGTTCTCAGGCATGAAGACAAAAATTGCACCCACTGCTGGTCCCCACGACAGAAGTGTCTTTTCCTTCCACAGTCCCTGTTACCTTCTCATTTTTCTTCTGTTTGTCTATTCGTGCCCTCTCCTTTGTCTTTTCTGCTTGAAGGATGCTGGGCAATATATAAATGTCTGCCTTTCTCTCCTTGCTTGCCCCCCCCTTTTTTGTCTCTTCCTATATTATATCCTTTCCTTACTAAGGCAGGCAGGCAAGCAGGCAGGCAGGAAGGAAGGAAGGATGGACGGACTCCTTGAGAAGAGGAATTTTAGGCTAACTGAGTACTTAAAACTCGATGTCATTTCAAATTAATCTAATTTGATTTGCCCCAATCAAATTTAGATCGGAGGAGCAAGCTTGCTGCTAATTATTATAACTCCTCTGCAATAAATCACACATATGTTCCTTGCTTGGCAGTGAGTAAATGGGTTGCTACTAATGAGCAAATGAAAAGGAGGAAGCAGAATGAGGTAGGATGATGAAGTTAATTTGCACAACAGTGAACAAGCCTTTCTTGGCCTTTCTGGCAAAGTGGCTTCTGTTTCTGTCTTCCTGCTGTCTCTGCTCCTCTGTTGGCCTTTCTGGCAAAGTGGCTTCCTTCTATTTCTGTCTTCCTGCTGTCTCTGCTCCTCTCTGGCAAAGCAGTTGCTAAGGACAGCATTCCTGCACTTACCGTCATCACAGAGAAGTCCCGCTCTTCCATAAGGACAGAGGCACACGGCATCTTGGCTGGATTTCGGAACACACGTTGCTCCATTCCCGCACGGAGTCTCCTCACAGGTTGAAAACTGACACAGTTTCCCAGAGTAGAAGGCAGGGCACTCGCAGAACCAGTTTTCTGGATCACTGTTAAATGAAGCAAAGAGAAAGTCATCAAACCATAGTTTCTTTGGAACCGACCAGAGGCAAGGAAGTAATTTTAATTCATCTTTCCCTCCACCCTCAAATCCAATACCACACAAATTGACTGCCAAACCTGATGATTCCTTTGCTTGTTGTTTAGAGGCATTTTCCAGCTTGCCTACTTTGTTCTGAGCATGATGCTGCTTCATGCTTTATGACCAAACGTAACAGGTTTCAAAACCACTTTTACCTATTATCCACAACCAAGTGCACTGTCACCTGGGGCTGATAGGCATTGTAGTCCAGCTGCGTATGGGTGGCCACAACGTTATCCAGCCCTAGTGGAGAGCTGTGGGAAAGAATCTTTGACCGGCACCTCTACCTTCCCTTCTGGCAAAGTAATAAGAAAACTGCCTGCCATTAATTGGGGGAAATCTCTGCTGTGCTCAGACTCAAGAATGGCCTGTGATCAGTTTATGAGTTAATGAGCAAGCTAGAATCATAAATGAGGGTTTGATTCTGGTTTGTTTTTGTGAAACTGGAACTCTGAAGTACATGTGTTGCAGTTTGTACTTCAGAATCCCCATGTTGACACACATAAAAAGATGAGGAGCAGGTCTTCTGTAAATTTAATGGCTCTTAATTGCCAATTCAAAACTAAACTAGTCTCAATACTTTTACATTACAAAAGGGATAGTTTGAAACAATGTACAGTTCCCAGGCAAATCCATTTCTCCTTCAGTTACTGAGAAGATTGCAGCTAATTTCAGAAGGAATAGTGCAGCCTGAGGAGGGTGGCAGATGATGTCATAGTCTCTGTTGCTCAGAAAGTCCCAGATCTTTGACTACGTGAGCCCTACCACCACTATATTAGCAGCAGACATATATTTCTCCATGCACAATTGAAAAATATCCATAGAATCATATAATGTGAAATGTGCACAAAACTATTTTTAAACCCATTGACTATTTACTTAGCTTTAATCGGCTAGCCTTCCTAAAGATCATGCTTCTACCAGTGAGATAAGCATAACAGTGAGAGTCCACCACAAATTCATGCTACTCAGAAGGAATAGTGCAGCCCGAGGAACGCCGTTACCTTCCCACCGCGGTGGTCCCTATTGATCTACTTGCATTTGCATGCTTTCGAACCGCTAGGTTGGCAGGAGCTGGGACAAGCGACGGGAGCTCACTCCGTCACGTGGATTCGATCTTACGACTGCTTGGTCTTCTGACCCTGCAGCACAGGCTTCTGCGGTTTAGCCCACAGCCCCACCACGTCCCCTACAACAGTGAGAGTCCACCACAAATTCATGCTCATAATGTTTCCTTAAAATGACGGAAATTTATTTGTTTGTTTACTCAGGGCAGGTTCCATTAAACATTATAAACTAAAACAGTTAAAAACAACTCAAAACTATAATGTTAGTAATGTATTCGTGAAGGCTTTCATGGCCGGGGTCTCTAATGGTTGTTGTGGGTTTTTCGGGCTCTTTGGCCGTGTTCTGAAGGTTGTTCTTCCTAACGTTTCGCCAGTCTCTGTGGCCATGGGCATCTTCAGAGGACAGTGCTGTACCAATGTTAGTAATGCTCAAGATGGGAAAAACTGAAAATTATACTGTAGTAAGAATAAAGTCAAGTATTGACAGGAGGGAAGGCCTGCCTGAAGAACCAAGTTTTTAATTGGCTCTTAAAAACATCCAGTGAGGGAGCCAGGTGGATCACTGATGGAAGGCTATTCCAGAGCCAGGGGGCCACTGCCGAGAAGGCCCAGTTTCTTGTTCTTTCTTTCCAGGCCTCTCTCGGCGTTAGGCCCCTCAATCATCCCTCCTGGCCATGGCGAGTGAATCAGGTAGTTCTAGGTGGGAGAAGGCGATATTCCAGGTATCGAGGTCCTAAACCGTTTAGGGCTTTATACATCATCATCAACACTTTGAAGTCAATGCAGAAGCAAATGGGCAGCCAATGCAAGGCAGCCAGAGTGGGAGAGATGCATTTAGACCATCTGTATGATTGGAAATACACACACAGCTGGAAAATAAAAATCAAAGAAAAAGAGATGGATCTCATCCCATTGCCCCTGGCAACAGCGCTATGGATATAGGCATGGAGGTGGGAAAGAGAGGACATATTCACCTGTAGATTTTTATAGATGGGCTCTCCTCTACAGCAAATCACAAACAACTGACTATCAGCAAGAACAGCTGGAAAGCTCAGTGGTTTAGGTACCTGGCTGTAGAGCCAGAGATTGGGAGTTTGATTCCCCACTGGATGTCCTTGACAGGTGCTGGACTTGATGATCTATGGGGTCCCTTCCAGCTCTGCAGTTCTGAGATTATTATTATTATTATAAGTTACAGAATTACAGATGTTCAAGTCCCATTGGTTTCAGAGGACTCTATGAGCACAGCTGTGCGTGGTGGTATCTTGCTGTTAAATTTATATTTATAATGGTGCAATATTTGATAAGTTTTGCTGGAATGAAGCTAAGGCAATAGTTCCTTTTAAAAACTGTAATTCAGTGCTTCGACAATAGAGGAATATACACAACCATATCACAAAAATCCAGAGCGAAAGAGGCTGCTTTTATTTTATTTTATTTTTTTAAAAACCCTCTCCTGACACTCCTGTGCCTAGCAGTTCATTAGTGTATTTCAAAGCGGCCCACCCACAGTTCTGAAGCAGGGAGAATCTTGGCTGGGAAGCCAACCAGAATGAGTCCTCTTGAATAATGTCTCGGCCAGACAGCTTTTAAAAGGAACATTGCTATCAGCTGAAATAATAAATGTCTGTGAATAGTGCATTGTATGGAAAGAGCAACTGCTGGAGTGGAGAGCCAGAGATGAATGTCAATGGATGTACAGCACAGAGGGGTCCTGTATTTTCAATCATTTTGATCCCCGTGGTAGGCCTGCCATTTGATCACAGTTTCTCAGTTCCTTGAAGGGCTGAATCCGCTGTGACATTTTCTTGTACAACCCCAGTGAAAGGAACGGATAGAACTCTTATTCCATCTCCACTGACATCCATGGACTTGCAGCGGGAAGCATCTCGGTGACTTTTGCCGATGGCACAGGTGCACACTGCAATAGCAAGGACATTGGTTTGGATTAGTTTAGACCAAGACCTCTAATATTTTGCTTTGCCAGAAAAAATGCAGGAGGGATGAGTGGCAGCTGACCCAAGGGAGACTTCAGAAGGAACCACCACCATCGCAATGCCCTAAAACAGTGGTTCTTAACCTTGGGTAACCCAGGTATTCTTGGACTGCAAATCCCAGAAGCCCCAACCAGCATAGCTGGTGGTGAAGGCTTCTGGGAATTGCAGTCCAAGAACACCTGGGTTATCCAAGGTTAAGAATCACTGCCCTAGAATAACAAAACAAAATGGCAGCCAGGCTGCCAATCCAGTAGCTGCTGTTAGGACATTTCTCCTCCTCCTGATGAAATTTCCTTCCTAATTTCTTATCCCACAAGCAGTTGTGTCATGGGCAATTCTAAACAGGCATTGGGTGACAATGTCATAGTCCCCATGACTCAGAAAGTACCGAGTCTTTGATCCGGCAAGCCTGCTTCCACTTTGTCATTACTCACAAACAGAGTGGAGAATTTTGAAAGGTTTAAAAATGCCTAGATTTTTGGAGAAGAGAACAAGTGTGAAAGTACTAATTATCTTGATAATTTTTTACAAAATAACTGCAGGTAAGCCGAGTGGGTTTTCATTCTCAGTTGTAGACCTTTGTGTTAAACAAAGGAAAATCTAAGAGACCTCTGAGTGGGGAGAGAGAATAGGAGCAGGGGACTGAACTCTGCTTATACGCCCAAGGATACTATGATTCTATGTGTGTGCCATCATTTGCCTACTACCCACTGAGTTTAGTGCCTTGGAGTGAAATAAGAGTAAATAATTTCTGGTTTTGAAAAGGTGAAAGTGTGGCTCCCATGGCCATCTCTGATGTGGAAAGCTTGGCTACTGCATCGGAAGGTGACACAAGGCTAAATAACACAAGGCACATTACTGCTCACAGTTGGTCTTTACAGCACCACAACTCCACCTCCCCCCCACCTTTTTTTGCTCTTGTCTTGTTTTCCTTTTTCTGTCTCTTGTGGGAATGTTTACAAAACCAGACTACAAAAGAACCGAACTCCAAACATAGCTCATAAATCAGTACACATGTGAGATGCAACCACACACCACTGACTCTTAAATTTTAAGTGGGCATGCATGTTTCACTTGGAAACTCCATATGTCTGAAGAAGTGGACTTGTCCATGAAAGCTCAAGCTCACGTAAAGATATATATATATCTTTATATATATATGTATCTTATATAACAGTTAGTCTTTAAGGAGCCACGAGGTTTTGGTCTCTTTCCCCCCTTTTTCTTTGGGTTTTGCCTGAAAGGCTAGGAGAGATGCCAATATCCAAGAAGATGGTGGTCACCACAAAATGAAAGCATTGGCTTTGGTTTTTAGCTTCCCCAAAACAAAACTAACCAACAAAACCAATCAAAAGCCCACGTGTAGGATAGATGAGATCCCACTTGTCAACAGCACTTGTGAAAAGGGCACAGTTGTCCTGTAGTGGAATGTAAGGTGAACGTAAGCCAACAACAGCTAAGAGAACTAAAAACAATCTTGGGCTGCAGTTCCAGAGTAAAAAGCAAAGCAAAGCAAAAGCAAAAGCATGCTGCTTATATACCGCCCCATAGTGCTTCAAGCACTCTCTAGGCGGTTTACAATTTAATTATGCAGGCTACACATTGCCCCCCCAGCAAGCTGGGTACTCATTTTACCGACCTTGGAAGGATGGAAGGCTGAGTCAACCTTGAGCCGGCTACCTGGGATTGAACCCCAGGTCGTGAGCACAGTTTTGGCTGCAGTACAGCGGTTTAACCACTGCGCCATGAGGCTCTGTAAAGATGTAGGCTCTGTAAAGAGTAAAGATGGCCAGAAAGAGCTTTTCAAAACTTTCCACA